GTGTTTCAGCAAAAAGAAAGCCAAGGAGCGAGCTATACAGCGTGTCCAGGAACGTCGGAATACAAAATCGGGCAAGAAGGCAGGAGAGGCAAAGACAGAGAAGTCAAACATCACAGAAGAGACTGCCAGCCAAGCGAGTATTGATCTCTTGTCCCCAGCATCATCTAACTGGAATATGGACACAGGTGCTTCATCTCACATGAGCCATCGTCGAGACTGGTTTCATGTCTGGACACCACATGTGGTTCCGATTCGGTTAGCGGACAATTCAATCATCTATTCGGCGGGCATGGGGACAGTTGTGTTTGAGCCAAAAGAGAAGAATGGAGAGGTCTGTGAGGCTGTCGAGTTCCAGGATGTACTGCATGTACCTGATCTTCGCAATAACTTGCTTTCACCCTTCCATCTTACACGTCATAAAGGATATGAGATCAACATAGCCGGGTCATCGGTCCAGTTCTTTCAAGACAAAGCACTTCGTTTCTCAGCTACTGTCAATGATAACAACGTCGGATATCTTAATGGTACCACTCGCACTACAAGGCCGGTAACCTCAAGTACTGCAAGCACCTGTCCACTTGACCTGACCCTATGGCATCGACGAACCTGTCACAGAAGCATAAACATTATCCGGGACATGTACGAGAATCAGCTCGTCTTAAATATGAAGATGAACAATATGCAATCTAATCCCGATCCAATTTGCGAACCTTGCCTTATGGGCAAGCACAGGCGACATAATATTCCTCGAGGCCCCTCACTCCTTCCAACACGCCCTCTTGCAATTGTATTTTCTGATCTTAAGGGACCTATGCCAGTCGCTACACCAGAAGGTTATCGCTACTGGATCACTTTTATATGTGGTGCTCTGCGTTTTTGGGCTGTTGCCTTGCTAAAGCACAAGAGCGACGCTCTGGCTGAATTTAAATGCTACAAAGCCTACGCTGAAAACTTTCATGGTCTGAAGATCTTAGAGGAGCAAGATGATGGTAGAGGAGAGTATATGGGTCGTGAATTTGATCAGTTATGCATAGAAGAAGGGATATCAAGACGCCATACTGAGCCCGATGAGCCTCATCAAAATGGAATTGCAGAACGTGCAAATCGCGATATTGCTGAAGGGGCTATTACTATGCTCTATGAAGCTC